CACAGAAATTGTTTTATTAGTTATGTCTTCTCCATATGTGTTCAATGCAAAAGTACGGACATCTTGTTCTCTTGTCCAACACTATAGTGTCTAACTTGGGTGACTATGTGAATTGAGAAGAGTCCTGAGGTGATTATCTTTTCTTGAACTTAATTTTGGGATATTGTTAACTAGACTATCCTTGAGTTTATTGAAAAATCTAGGATTTTTGGATTGTTGATATTTCCCAAAGATTTTAGGTTAGGACAGTCTAGAACAGTAACAGCTCAGCTCACCTCACTTATCTTCTGGAAACATAATCCGTTATGCCCTAAAACCTAAAGCCCTTTCAAACATTGGATACATTTTGTTTGTACCCCTTGATTTGTGGCTATAGTTCTTTTCTCTAAAGGTAGTTCAGCTATTTTTATGGCATGATGTGTCCCAAGACTTTTTTGATATCCAGCATCTGTAATTGTTTAGCAGGTCAATAACTTTAAAAATTGATTGTTTTATGCTTTTTAATGGGTTAAATTCCAGTGTTTGAAACTGTTTTGGGGGTTTGATATTATACAATTTTCTGATCAGTGTATGAACATTGCATATGAAGATTGCATTTACTTTGTTAGTTTTGGTGAACAACATCTCTCATACAGTTCTTGAAGCTATGCAGTCGCTTTATACGAAGGTGCAAGCAAGGATGCTTGCAGTTTGTGATCCTCAAGCCTATGCTAGTAGCAGTTACATTTATACTTTATGCAAAAGGGAAATATGAAGATGGAAATTTTAGTCCAATGCAATCATACCTCTATCTCACCATTATATATACAATCTCATACTCAGTGGCACTTTATGCCTTGGCCTTGTTTTATGTGGCCTGTAGAGATTTGCTTCAGCCTTTCAATCCAGTTCCAAAGTTCATTATTATCAAATCAGTTGTATTTCTTACTTACTGGCAGGTAAGATACTGTTTAGTATTGATAAATTGAAATAGGACTAAATTTGAAGCATGCTTATTTTATTGCCAATTTTGTGTTGCTGGCGAATTTCTTATTATTTGCTGGCATTATCTTACTAGTACAAAATATAGCGTGTTTTCTTTTTTAAGGCTTCCAGAGAGTTTCACTTGACATTTGTTGGGTTCAAAACTGAATGGGATGCTGTCTGCATTGTTAATTGGTAGAACTCTACAGTGAAATGCGCTTTTCACCATTAACCTTTTGTTCTTGAATTATGTGTTGCCACTATTTGTGTAACGACCTAGACCTCTTGCCCCTGCTGTTATATTATACGTACTATCCGCTTTGGAAGAATTTTAATCCAATTTACCCTTCACGAATTTCTGTCAAGTCTCCCAGGTGTCAAAATCAAGACATCTGCCTTATGAGAAACTTAATTGAATCCTAGTATCAATTGGGCAAGTTGATAGTTTTTCAATGTTTGAGACTATTGCTTGGTAATGCTTCATCGTCGAGACTTTTTAATTGTTATTGTTCTAGATTATTGTCATGAAACCAATACAAGCAAAGAAGTGTGGTTTATGATTTAATTTGCACTCACAGTATCTGCCTCCAGTTCGATAACTAAAATTATTTACATTCTGAGTATTGCTACCTGTTTCAATAACTTTTCTCGTGAACTTCCTTTATTTACAGGGGGTTTTGGTTTTTCTTGCTGCAAAGTCTAAACTGATAAAAGATACAGAGGAAGCTGCGAACTTTCAAAGTTTTATAATTTGTGTCGAGATGCTTATCGCAGCAGTTGGTCATCTTTATGCATTCCCATACAAGGAATACGCTGGTGCAAATATTGGTTCTTCTCGTGGCTTTACAGCAAGCCTTGCACATGCTCTGAAGTTAAATGACTTTTACCATGATACTGTCCACCAGGTGACAATATCTATTTAAGCATATATTTTTATTCTCAACCAGCATGAGCACCTGATTTAGAACCCAAAAACCCGTTATAGTTGATGATGGCTATTTTTCTGATATTCTCTTATATGTTCTACAGTTTGCACCAACCTATCATGATTATGTTCTCTACAACCATACTGACGGTGATGAGGGAACAAGGAAATATAGGGCACGAACCTTTGTCCCAACTGGCCCGGAAATGGATGCAGTTAGACGGAACAAACATATGTTTGGTAACAAATCGGAAGATATCCAGTTGTCCAGTTTGTCATCTCCAGCCAGTGATACTCCTCAGAATACAGGCATGGGGCACAATTTCGTGAAATCAGAGGCCATTAACACGGCATTACTCATGGATGTGTCGAGTACACATTCCGTGCCTTATGACCTTTCTCTCATTGACTTAGACATTTCTAATCAGTCAGCGAAAGTGCCTGCTGCAAAAGAAGGTGGGAGAAGGTGACAAAAAGGGGCGGTAGAGAATCAAAAATCTCGTGTTACCTTTAAACATTAGGTTCCTGATAGTGGCTTCATGATTTTGACTTGGTAAGAGGAAGACAGATTTTTGAATTTTCTTTGCTTTTTTTTCTTTTTTTTTCTTTTTTCTGATTTTTTGATTTCTTTTTTTGTTTATTTATTTATTTTTTATTATTATTTTTTGTTACAAGAGTCGTGGGAAACTACAATTATGCATATAGGCAAACATTTTTCTCCTAGCTGTGGGTTTCGTCTTGTACATAGGAAGTAAAAACTACTCCGTCCCATAAACATGGTCCTATTTTTTTTTCACACATATTAAGAAAATTTATTTAATATAGTTGAAACAATAAATTTAACTTTCATTTTTCCTAATATATCTCTACATTAATGCAATCAATATTGAAAGTAATTAAATTATATCTGTAATAACAAAGCTAGGGAGCATATTAGGAAATCAATATATTAACTATATTGTCAAATAAGAAATAAGACTGTAATTTGGGATGGACAAAAAGGGAAAACAGGGCTATCTTCATTGGATGGAGGGAGTAATTGTTTTTATTTGAGGTATTAATACCGTATATGAAATTTTGGGTTTTAATTCTTTTATCTTTGGCGTCGAGGTGATTGTGGCGTAATGCTACGGGGTATCAATTAGAGAGATCTTATTAATAGTTAATACAATATTATTCTTGTGTGATTAAGTGCTTGTTTGGCATGTGTTTAAATTATAAAATTTATTGGTCAAATTTCTTTGTATTCTCATATGGGAAATTTACGGCAGTGGTCTCTAACCTTTTCATTTTTTGTAGACTTTACCTTAACCTTCATTTTGTGTCGGCGGAGGTTCATAAACTTTCATGATATACATCTGAGGTCTATCTGGACGGAAATCGTCTAAAATACCGTCAGTTGACCAAGGAAATTAACAAATCAATATCCAATAAAATCCTCCAAAATATCGTCTAAATAGACGTCGACATTCAATAAAATCATTGCGGTAGTAGATAGTTCAAGGAATTTTCCTTGTCAACTGGCGATTTTTTAGACGATTTTCGTTCGAATGGACCTCAGGTGCATATTTATGAAAAGTTAGGGGCCTTCACTTGTACAAAATGAATATTAGAATAAAGTTTGTAAAAAATGAAAAGATTAAGGATCGTTGTTGCAATTTTCTGTTCGCATATTTGTTGGACCCATAAGTATTGTCCATTTATATTTCATATTTATTTGTTTATAATTTAGATGGATTATAAACAATTCTTAAACATGCTTCCATGGTTGTTTCAATATATATTCTCAATTTTATATCGTAGTATCTCTTCGAAAGACATAATATGTTCTTTAGCGCGTTTAATCGTTGTGATAAGAAAATTCACGTGCTCGATAATTCTAATAAAGAGCATTTACTTGAGTGTTTTGGCTAATGGCAATTCTTTGTAAATTCATGTGTTCCCAATTAAGATTTTAACGGGTTTTATTAGAATCAATTAAAACAAGTATTCTCCATAACTCATGAGCTTGTAAATAAGGATTGCATTAACAAAAGGATTTCAAGAAATTTGAATTACATTTAAACTTAGAATGCTCTTTAACATTCTTTTTTGAAATTTTATTATTTTTAATGAGATTCTAAGAATTACTTGAAAGGGAAAATTACCCAAAACTCTACGTCTTAAATATACTATTCAAGAATAAGGAGAATTAGTTTTAATTCATAGATCAGAATTACTAAATAGATTAATACATGATTAATTAATATCTCTGGATAATTAAATTTTCCATTATCCCACACCATCCTCGTCCTCCTCCCCGACCTCGATTGTAGAAATCGAGATAAGCTGCACAATTTGTCACGTTTTCCCATATCTTCACCCCACTATTATAGAAATTGAGTGGTACTTTTCTTTGGTTTTTGAATTTTTTTTTTGTTCTGTGTACCATAAAGATGGCGGCGTCGCAGTTGATGTGGCATCGAGTTCGTATAATAAGGGGATGTCATGTGACAATATAAAAGGATCGATTGGCGTTTAAGTTGCTATTTTCTTATAAATCAGTTGGAAATTTTGAAAGTGTGACTTTATCTAATATAACTAAGAAGGCTAGCAAATTTGATTATGTGAGTTCAATGCCGACTAATTTCATTATATGGAAGTAAATGCTTTGAGATCAAAGCCTCAACTAAATGCTTTACATTGATTTTTTGAAAGCATTTCGTTGGTACTTTTGGTCATTCCTTGTATGTTGGAATCAGCTTGTCAACCATGGACACACGAACTTTGTCTCAGAGCTCCAAATCATGTACGTTTGAGTGAAACTTCTAGATCTCTTCAAATCAGAAATTGAAGGCCTTCAATCGCATAGGCGAATTTAGGGGGGGTTGGGCTGAACTATAGCCCCCACCCTCCCTTCCAGGCCCAACAGCTTTTTTTTAAGGTATTTTTTTATTTTTTGTAAAAAGCCAGTTTTTTATGTGTAAAAAAAATATATATATATTTCAACATAGTAACCCGATTTGAAATTTTGTAGATCGATCTTGAATTCAATTCTGAATCCGCACCTGTTCAATCCTTTCCTTAGTGCACATTTCGACACTAGAGAACAAAAGCACCAATTAACATAAAGTCTGTTTTCTCGAAAACATGACACAAAATTGTTACAAGTCGG